CTAGACACAAAGATATTGAAGTCACCGAGGATATTCTAAGAAACGACCCGCTGGCATCGGGCAGTACTTTCGCAAGTGGAAACTAAAACCAAGTGCTGCTAAGACAGAGGTCTCTAGTTTCCACCTGAACAACAAATTAGCCAATCGAGAACTGCAAATCTACTTTGAAGGTATGCTACTTAAATACAATAAACAACCTAAATACCTAGAGGATACACTAGATAGAACGTTGAGTTTTAAAGATCATCTGTCGGAAACAGCAGCTAAGATCAAAACGCGTGACAACATCCTCCAGAAACTACGCGGCACCAGTTGGGGAGCATCAGCCTCCACACTGCGATCTTCAACACTGGGCTTGGTATATTCAGCAGCTGAATACTGTACCCCGGAGTGACTTAACAGCGCTCACGCTGGCCTGGTTGATGTCTAACTCAATCACAGAATGCGGCTTATTACAAGTACGATCAAAAACCAACACCTTTCTTCTGGCTCCCCACGCTTAGCATACGTAGAGAGCACGCTGTTGTCTGGAAATTTAAGGAGATCATTAATAGATAATCCTCAACTATCGATCCACTCCGATACCTTCGCCCTCGAAAGAAACCAACTTCGCTCCAGGCAACCCCCTCTAAGAACTGGAAAGTTTCTGCATGATGCCGGTTTTGAGATAAGTGCCCGATGGCGAGAAGAATGGGAGGTCAATGCTCCACTAGCCTACCACAACATGCCTTGCATATCCAGCAAACCACATGGATTCGACCTATCCCGAAAAACATGGTCAACCCTAAATAGAATTAGAACCAAATGTGGTAGATGCGCTGACTCACTTTCTTAATGAATTGAAAACCTTTTCCCCGGGTGCGACTGTGGAGATGATACTGCCCACTAAGAGCCTACACCGGTGACCCCTCTGACTTTCGGACAGCGACTATGGATGCAATTGGATATACAGGGTGTAACTGAATAAGTGTAAAACATTCAAGGAGGTGATTCCTCATCGAAAAAAAAAAGGATCTTTCATATAAAGAAACTTCATTGGAGCATCCCTTGTTAAGATACAGCCCCTTAAAGGGGGTACATAAAATTTGTATAACCATTTTTTCACAAGCACTGAAAAAGACACTTAGCCAGTAATTTATTTGATTTACCCCATGGTTGTTAGGGGTGGAAAACGCAACCCCTAAAATTTATTTCCAATGTAACTTTTTGTCTTATCATTTGTTTACCATTTAAAAATTTATTTCCGATAGCCTGTTTCATTGTAAACAAAAAATGTCTTCTGGGTTTTATGCCCAAAATGAACCAGTTTGCAGCAAAAAATTATTTTACGAACAACTACAGAGATACATCGTCATAAATGCGAACAGGATTTATTGTTATTTTGTAGTTAGTACCTGCATTAAACAATTAAAGGGTAATAAACAAAACTAATTTATTAATAACAAAACACACAACATGTAGAAATCATAGTAAATGTTCAATATGTCTACCTTCAGACATTACGCATGCGTCTAGACATCGGCGCATTGAGTCACGTATTCGCTCAAATATTCCTGGAGTTTCTCTGATTACCCTGCACGCATCGGTGATGCGGTTTCTTAAGTCCTCTACATCGCGAACAGGAGTACGATGAACCAAATGCTGTAATGGCCCCAAATAGAGAAATCGAGAGGATTGAGATCCGGAGATCGAGCAGGTCAGTTCTGTGGTCCTACTCGACCTATCCACTGATTTGCATATGTTTCAGTTAAATGCTGACGTTCTACTTGACTAAAATGGGCGGGAGCCCCATCATGCATGAAAAACATCCGTTCTGACGTCCAAAGGAACTTCCTTCAGGAGTACTGGATGCACTTCTCTTAAAAATTGAACGTATGCCTTACCATTTAATCGACGGGGTAGAAAATGAGGCCCAATTAAATCATCCCCAATAACTACGAACCATACGTTAAGAGAAAACTGGTCTTGATGGTTAGTTTCGACAATAGCGTGAGGGTCTTCATCAGCCCATATGTGGTAATTATGAAAATTAATAATCTTGTCCCGAGAAAAACTACATTCGTCTAGGAATTCTATCGTCTTTCTTCTAATCATTTCCAGCATTCAATTGCAAAATTCAAGACGGTTCGGAAAATCTCGAGGTAACAGTGTACTCGTACTCATACTGTACTCGTTGCAGATGGTGAGGGTATAAGAGTTGTTCCTTTAAAATTCTAAATACCGTCATATGATCAACATTTGGCTGGAAAGCAATCTTTCTAGTACTGGTAGTAGGTTGTTCTTCAATCTAATTAAGTACTACTTCCTCAAGCTGTGGTGTTCGTACTTCTCGATGGCGATCACAATACTGAGTTATTTTGTCGAATGAACCATATTCTCGTAATCGTTGATGAAGTCGAGCAAATATTCTATGTGAATGATGCTGCCGTTTAGGATACATTTCAGCATATCTTCTAGAAGCTTCTTACCCATTCCCCTGCGACAGACCGTAAACGTAATGCATATCAGTCATTTTCTCATTTGTGTATGCCATTTTAATAACAAGTGAATTATTGAAATAACAAATTAAGAACAGAACAACAACACACAATTAGTATTAATTCAATTTCGAAAATTCACAAACTGATAGCGTCATACCAATTTAATTGTCACTATCGCTAATAGCGACCTACTAGATAGATTAGTTTCGTATTTTCGCATTTATGACGATGTATCTCTGTAGTTGTTCGTAAGATAATTTTTTGCTGCGAACTGGTTTATTTTGGGCAAAAAACCCAAAAGACATTTTTTTGTTTAGAATGAAACAGGCTATCGGAAATAAATTTTTAAATGGTAAACAAATAATAAGATAAAAAGTTACATTGGAAATAAATTTTAGGGGATGCGGTTTCCACCCCTTACAACCATGGGGTAAACCAAATGAATTTCTGGCCAAGTGTCTTTTTGGTAGTACAAAGCGTCAGGTTGATTTCAATATTGTAACTTTTTCAGTGCTTGTGAAAAAAATTGTTAATATGAAAGATCTATCTTTTTTTGATGAGGAATCGCCTCCTTAAATATTTTATACTTATTTAGTTATATATACAGGGTCCTGCAACAGTGGCGCGGTGTTCCATATCTCTATATAGGAAGCAGATAGGAATCTAATTTTCTATAATATTACCTTATTGCTCGAGCTCGACAAAATAAAAATATTGGCGGTCACACAGGGTGTTCGATTTTTTCTGGGCGGATCCCAACTGTGTCTTTTTAAATGGCAACCTATATTTTTTATCGCTTTTTCGGTTTCTTCATAGAAAATAAAATAAACTTTATGTATATCTGCACTTCGAAAATATTGACGGTTTTCGAGATATCTAGCATGACAGGTTTTTTTTTC